CATGATTAGCGGAGGTGGCGCTTCTTCGGCTGGGGCTCCTCGAACTCCTCTCCGTCACTGAGCCTCCCGATTTAATGTTTCTTTGTTGCGATGTCCCCTTCTTTATCGGTGTTCTCCCCGGTGTTTTTCCTTGGGGCATTTTTGATGAATTGGTGGAGCTCACCCCGTTGAATTAAGAGTTCAATAGCCTTCTTTAACGAGACACAATCGTCTGTATTATGGGAGGTGCTTTTGTGGTAACGGCAATAAGTGCCGCCTTGGTGGATGGCGTAGATCTCCCTTGCCGACCGAGGGTCCTTGGGGAAAAGGTCCTGCTCTTCCGCATAGTTGAGGATAGTGCTCACCGGGTGCGTGAGGGGAGTCCTAGGCATGTCCAGCCGAGGGTGCCATTGGCGTTCGTTACGGCCCTGCTAGGTGTGGCTTCCATGGTCTCGGCCTCCGGCCGAGGGCACATTTGGGGCCGGCGTGTTGTTTATCTTCTTCGAGGGCTGGCCCTCGTTCTTCTTGAAGGAGTAGAGGTCGTCGGCGTCGGCGTATAGGCTCCCCCGCTGGAGTGCTCTGAGGTATGATCTTGGGGGGTCGGTGATGAGGCTCCGTGCGTAGGGGCTGCTGCGGAGAACCCCCTGGAAGAGGACGAGGAGGGTACGCTCGTCGGCGCCCTCGACCTCGTCTGTCTCCTTCATCCACCGGTCAATGAAGGACCGAAGTGTTTCGTCAGGCTGTTGCTTGACGGAGAGGAGCTGGGAGAAGTGCTTTCTCGCGCGCTTTCTTCCGGCAAAATGGGTGAGGAAGCGTTGGGCAAGATCTTGCCAAGAGTCAATGCTGCCCTCGGGCAATCGATTGAACCATTCGTATGCTGGTCCCTCCAAGGTGGAAAGGAACCAACGACATAAGTATTCATCTGATGCCCCCATCATCATCATGCTGTTTTGATACCTGTTGTAGTGCTCCTGAGGGTCAGTTTTTCCTTCATAGGGCTTGATGAGTTGCCCTCGGTACTTTTCCGGGATTTGGGCCGCCAATACCCTTGGGGTGAATGGCGTCCGGGTCCGGAGCTGGATGATGGGTTCCCCGGAGCCCTCGGCTACCTTCTTCTGTAATTCCTCCATTTTGGCCATCATGGCCTCGTATTTGAGGTCTGAATGAGGGGTGGAGGTGGTGGCGTGAGCTTTGTCGGCCTCCATTTCATCAAGTCGGCGTTGGAGGGCCGCAATAATTTCGTCCCGGGGGTCCTTCGGGAGGGTCTCCGCCCCCTGCGAACGAATCCGGGCCGAGTGGGCCTGGTTGATCTGGTGGCGAGCATCGTCGGCATGAAGGGGTGCCTTGCCTTTGTCCCGAGGGGGACGCTCCTCGTCTGCCCTCGAGACAGACCCTCCGCTTTCTTGGGGCCCTCGGCGGTCTTGCCCCCCTCCGAGCCGGTTGAGGGCGGAAGTGCGGGGCCTTTCTCTGTTGTCATTGTGGCGGTCCCGGGACTGAACTTCCTGGGAGGCCGTGTCTTGGGCCACTACCCCTTCGTCATTCCTAACCCGAGGGATGGGGTTTTCGAAGGGGTGTGGCAGAGGGGGAAGTACGAGGTTCTCCCCAACCTGGGGTTGAGCCGGAGCCAGGGTGCCGAAGGCACCCGGGTTCTGAGTTAGCGTCTGGATGAAGGCGGAGAGTGCCGAATGAACGTCGATGGTGAGGACCGGAGGGCTGACTTGGTCATCGCTCCGGTTTTTCTTCTTGGCCTCGATGCCGAGGCGGGCATCGGGGGCATTCTGCTGGATCTGAAGGCGTAGGTCGACAGCCGCCTGTTCCAGCCCAGCGATGACACCGCCCTCGGGAGCCCTGTGAGAGGCTTCGGGGGCGTTGACGTCGCCGAGGGCCAGGTTCTTGTCTTCTACGTTTTTGGAGTTAGCACGTGTTGTTCTCACCATTTTGGTAGAGGGCTAGTGTTTGGCGAAGGGGGAGGGTTTCTTACTTGATCGTTCGACCTCTCAACGAGAGCACCAAATGATGGATAGTGTACCCGAGGGGTAGCTTATCCGAGGGGTTATTGCGGAGAATAACTAGAGAGAAGTCAGAGCAAATAAGTAAGAGAGAGAGTGTATATTCGATATGTATTAAGCGTGGTTTACAATGGGGGAAAGGGGTGCTATTTATAGTAGTAATAAATGCTAGATAAGGACACGTGTCAGTTTTCTGGTGGTCGAGGGGTCACCTCGACCGGGGTGGCACTGGCACTCGCATGTGGCCGCATTAAATGCGGTGGTTGGATGTGACGTTTGTACTTGGTACGGTGATCCAGGCGCATGTGAAGAGGATATTCTGTCGAGGTGGATGCCTTAGGCTGAAGGGTGCTGGGCCGAAGGCTACAGGTGCCGAAGGCTTGGTTTTCAAGCCTTGTTCTCCTGTGATGCCTCTTCTAACCGAGGGCTCCTACCTGCCGAGGGCTGCAGTTGCCGAAGGCTTGGTTTTCAAGCCTTGTTCTCCTGTGATGCCTCTTCTAACCGAGGGCTCCTACCTGCCGAGGGCTACAGGTGCCGAAGGCTTGGTTTTCAAGCCTTGTTCTCCTGTGATGCCTCTTCTATCTGAGGGCTCCTACCTGCCGAGGGCTACAGGTGCCGAAGACTTGGTTTTCAAGCCTTGTTCTCCTGTGATGCCTCTTCTATCCGAGGGCTCCTACCTGCCGAGGGTTGCAGTTGCCGAAGGTTTGGTTTTCAAGCCTTGTTCTCCTGTGATGTTTCTGAGCTCGATTCCTTCACTGGTAGCCTTCGGCCATAGGGCCGAAGGCACCCCTTTGCGTATTGTGGGCTGCTCAGAGCTCCATTTTGCTGGGCTTGGCCCGTTTGGGCCTGTTGGGCCTGATTGTAGTAGAGGAAGTATGTGGACCGGGGGTCCCTGGGCCATATACTCCATCAGTATTACATACTAAAATTAATTTTATGGCGGTTAAAACTAGCATCCTAGAGACTAAAATTTAAAATACTTCTAGATTTCTGGTGTTTTTCCAAACTAGCATATCAAAATTAAGGTTTTTATTAAACCTGACAGTTTAGGAGAATTTTGACTTTGCACTTCATTATTTGAGTGAAATTGCATTATGCCTCTTATACCATAAAATATCAGTGGCATAATTTCTCGTATGTCATCCGTCATCTTGATGAAAATGATGAGTTTTACTTCAGTATTATTTGCTAATGATCATAAAAAGATAATGATTTTAACTTAGTCTCATTCTATTATTATTATGTCTTATTGTTTTGACACTATTTTGCAAATTTATGGCTTGGATTTAATTTTTATTCTATTTTCATTTTTTTCATCGACTTAAAGGATTACGAATTATTCTTTTATGTAGTAATGACATTTACAAAATAATACCCGTGTTTTCGTTCAAACTTTTAATATGTAACAGATATCATATTATACACGTATACATATTTACGCGTTTTTTAAAGTTAAGGTTTTTTTAACGAACTTTTGACCATTTGTTTCATTCGTATTACCGAATAAAACATGTACATATCAAACCACACACGTTTAATTCATGTACCGTTTGTTTCGGATATAGGAACGTTTCGATACGTCGATACGATACCCTAGTGAAGTATCTGTACTTCATAGCCTATACTAATTATTAGTACCGAGTATGTGTTAATTTATTAAATACTAAAGATTTTAAAAGCACGAATTTTGAGATATTCAGGATCAAACCTAGAATGTGTATACTATAAAGGTGACAACTCTTATACCCAGGGATGGATTTAGGGGGGGGGGGGGGGGGGGGTGCGACGCGCCCCCCTTGGACTTTCAAAATTTTCTACTATATATGTAATGTTTTTGTAAAAATTTTGATACTTTAATTAGATTCGCCCCCTTAACTTTGTGTTTAACATTGCCCCCTTAACTTTTAGTTTTTAAAATTAATATATAGTCTTACATAATTTAATACTTAATTAGAGATTTAAAAAAGAAACATCTAAAATAGTTTACATAACTTAAATAAACAATAGAAGAACTCATTATTTGAGATTTAGAATACTTATTATATAAAAATTCTTAGTTTTGTAATGCTTATTTATCTTTATTCGATAACTAGTTAACAATTTTGAAAAATATATATCAAACGATATTAAATACCAGACACTGCACTCTAGCTACAAAGTTTTTAGATCATGTGAAGTGAATCGAAATTATAAATCTTTATTGACATTGAATTACATTGTTCATTTATTTCTTACGTTCTAAAAAGCCTTTGTTGCATAGATAATAAACTTTAATTATTTTAGCATTAATACAAATATAAAATGCACTATATATATGAATTAGCAATATAATATTATTCTAAAAATAATAATATCATACATACTATTGTAATATTAAAAGAACTGCTTGTGACTTATGAACACCCTCCATGATAGTGAATGAGTACCTTATAAACTCTTTATATTTAAATGAAATTTATATATCTTTTTTTATTTTTGTATTATTTTCCATTGATTTGTCATTTCTTATGCTTTAATGTATCAATACTTTTTCCTAGAGCACTCCAATTATAAAATTAAAGTTATTTTGTCATTGTGTAAACTTAGAATGTAATATATAGATTTAAATGTCTATCATGTATGTATTAATGAATTTTTTTTTGAATAAAAATAGCCGTAGAGTCTGACACTAGTGAAAAATTTCGCTCCGCTACACTAGAAAAAAAATTCGCCCCGCTACACTAGTGAATTTTTTTATCTCCTACACTAACGAAAATTTTCGCCCCCCTTGACTCGAAATCCTGTATCCATCCCTACCGATAACAATTTAAAAAATGGAGTATCGCACCTACCATTCACTGGTCCAAATCATTATACTACAAATTATTTTTAATTTAAATTTAAATAATTCAACTGAAACATTTTGATTGGTCAAGGCACGGATCAAGGTAAAGTACCTTAAATTATGGGCACGATAAAATCTACCTACTATAAATGGGGGTTGTGTTTACAACAGTAGCTAGATTTTCACTAGTTTTTTGAAAAAATGGATATAGTAGGAAAGGCCAAGAAGATGGTGACGGGAAAGCTGGCAGAGATGGAGAAACCGGAGGCGAGCATCACCGACGTCGACGTTAAAGGCATCGGCATGGACGGAATCTCGTACCACGCCAAGGTCGCCGTCAAAAACCCATTCTCGGTCTCCATCCCCATCTGCGAGATCGGGTACGTCCTGAAGTGCGCCGGCAGGGTGATAGCCTCCGGCACCGTCCCGGACCTGGGGTCGGTGAAGGGGAAGGACACGACGGAGTTCGACGTGCCGGTTAAGGTGCCGCACAGCGTGGTCGTGAGCTTGGTTCGGGATATCGGTCGAGATTGGGACATTGACTATCAGCTCGAGCTCAGCCTCGTCGTTGACCTTCCCGTCGCCGGGAACATCACCATCCCGCTCTCCCACTCCGGCGAAATCAAGCTTCCCAGTCTCTCTCTCTTCTCCACCGCCTCCGCAAATTAAATGACAAAAGTATCCGATCCATGCATGTCCATGTGTATATACTCCGTATAGTATAATTGACATCAATACCGCCGCCGGATAATAGTGAGTTCGGCCGCCGGCTAATAGTGAACACGGCAGCCGGAGGATAGTCATATACGGAGTATATACTCCGGTATAATGGAATAACTTTTCTTGTGTTAAATATTACTCCGTACTAGTACTTAAAGTATTAATAAGAAGTTAACTTTGATATTGTCATTTAGCTCAGTGGAAGTACGTAATGATTGTGCTACGACTCAACTTAATTTCGAGATTGATGATCACCTTAATTGTTAATTCAATTCGAATTAGAATGGAATTCTAATTAACCAGGGAAAAAATTCTAGCGGTTACTACCTCCGTAACCCTAAAATCTTCCCAGTTTGACTCTTTTATAAACTTTGATCATTAATTATTCAAAACTCACATTATGCTATGATTAAAAATTTATTTCATATATCTCATTGTAAAACATATTATTTGAATGTTAATTTATTATGAATTTTATAAATATAGATATGTAGATATTTAGAGTCAAAGTTCAACTTAGAAGATCGTAAAAAGTCAAAATGAGAAGATCTTTGTGTTACTAATTTGGAAGCTATCTGATCCTTTTTAAAAACAAAAAACTAATTAATTCCTTAAAGAATGGGGAATTAAGAAATATAAGTGAATGAATAGTCTAAAACTATACAAAGAAAAAATCTCATGATTTCTTCCAAATCACTAACCCTGTAATAATAAAGTCTCTTTTAAAGTCGTGCTACTCTTCTTATTGTTCTATAGAAAAACAAAAAGAAATACTCCCAAGTCTCAAATTATAAGATACATTTACTATTCACTTGGTCAACATAAATCACTCACAATCTTTTACTTTATATATCAAAAGTTTATGAAATTTGAATTAATTTTTGTAGTTTTGTAGCGATTTTAATATAGTTTCTGAATATGTAAATTTTATTTTCTAAAACTAATTTGAGTGTTGACATCGTGAACCGTAAAGTAGGAACGGAGGGAGTACAATAAAAGATTATTTGTTTTCATGGGTCACCGGAAAAGAAGAATTGATTTGACCAAGAACCAACAAAGAAAGAAGAATTGATTTGATCAAGAACCAACAAAGAAAATTCGATCGAATGGAATTGTCTGAACGAAAGGTTTGACCGGCTAGCCCTCAAAAAGGAGATTCAGTTGAGCACTATCTTACACTCAGAATGAGATGGTTGTTCAAGAGGATCAAATGAGACGATTGTTCAAGAGGAGGCGGGTAATTGAACTTCAGTAGAACTTGGTTGAACCAGCCTTGTCAATCATGAATAATACAAATTTGTTACTCGATCAGTTACACTGATGAAGAACACACAACCACTAGACATTCCTATGAGAAGAGCAAATCACAGCTTACTCGAAACCGACGTAACTCTCGACCAGAGAATAAGTCGGGTGAAAACCATAACCATGTAAGGTGGAAATAAAAAAGGGTGTCAACATAGAAAAACTTTTGATTCGTTATTGTCTAGAAAATGTCACAATCATTGAAGACTCTTATCAATCGGAAAGAGAAAGACTATGAGATTGGATCCTTTATGAGGATATTTTAGGGGCATGCCACTAGGTTTCCCTATGACTATGTTTGACAGACATAAGTCTCTGCCCTCTAGTTTTTGTATTGTTCAAAAAGTCTCTAAAAGCTTTTAGTTTTATGTCTAGCATGGCAATTTTTAAGAGCTTTTCAAAAATTAAAAGATCTTTTTTGAGATGCTACAGGGAGTAGCATTTGAAAAAAGTCCGCGACTTTTAGTATTAATTAGTCCTAATAGCTTGTATACCAAACCGAACTAAATCAAATAGTCAGCTTTTTACCAAATAGCTACCACCTTTTATCTATAAGATCTTTTCAGTCACAAAAAGCTAACAGTTATTAAAAAGCTCACAAAAGTATCTCTTCAGTTAGTTGTGCCAAACATACCCATAGAACGGAAAAAATCTTGTGAATATTTCCATATCACTAACCCTGCAATAATGTAGTCTAGCCTAACAGTCTTGTTGCAAATGCAAATAGAAAATAAAAAATAACAAATAAAAAACTTTGTTTCACCAGTCATCGGAAAAGGGAGAATTGATTTAACCAACAACAAACAAAGGAATCTCTTATAGGCAGTAAGAGTTTAAACGATGATGATGTTCTTTGAATTGGGCAGTAAATTAAAGAATTTAAGGTTCTCCTATGCTCCCACTCTTTTTTTATTTCGATCTTCACAAGTTTTGCTTTGACTTCTTGTTTGGCCGATGGTTTTGTTCGCTTCAAACAAGTATGTGATATGTTCTTTTCCTAGCGATGTTTAGAACCTGTGTATTTGGTGAATTTCCATTGTTCATTATTTGAAAAGTTAATTGAACATTGTTTTTCAGAGGCTTCAATTACTTGCTCTCATCCTGAACCATCGTCACATTTAGGGAGAAATAAAACATTTAACTCGAACTCCTTTGTTTTTGACATTCATGTGGATAAGACAAGTTAAACATTTGATCCATAGAATTAAAAGTTATAGCAAAATTACTAATTAACATATAATAAACGGAAAATATAATGATTTTTTCCCATTAATATTACTATATTAAATTAAAAAAAATGACTTGTTTACACTGACTCGTCATCTACAGTGATTTGTTATTCTAAAATACACAATAGTGATTAGTTCACATTGAATAGTCATATTTTTGTTCAAAAACATAACGAGTCATATTTTGTCTGGGGAATACAATGCGAAATATTTAATCAATGCGATATCTGATACTGAAGGAGTGTTTGCAAAAACTAAAAAAAAAAGCGCTTCTCAGCTTTTGGCTTTAAAAAGCTAAAATTAGTGTTTTCAATTGACAGTTTCTGTTTAAATTAATCACTTAAAAGCTAAAAGCTGAAAGCAGGTTGAGGGAGCGCTTTAATCTGCTTTTCACTTTTCTGATTACACAAAAACACTTATTTTATCAAACACTACCAACTTTTTTTTTGAATATAAAGGATCAACTTTTTATAGTAAAAACGAGACAAGATACAAGTTAACATCCAGACAGTTATTACAGATCCGACTGTGAGCACAAGGAATAGACATAGAATCAGTCACCTCATTCAAAACAACTTTATTCGCTAGACACGAAATGGGCAATTTAAAGCCTAAAACAATCGGGACTGAAATACTGCCTGATGGAGTATATGGTCCGGAACCCCGACCCACGTACTCCCACTACTGTAATCAGGTCCAACAGGCCCAAACGGGCCGCCAAGCCCAGCAAAATGAAACTGTAAGCAGCCCACAATGCACAAGGAGGTGCCTTTGGCCCCATGAACGAAGGCTACCGATGACAGAATTTAGCTCAGGAACATCGTAGGAGAACAGGGTTTGAATACCAAGCCTTCAGCACCTACAACCCTCGACACATAGAGGCCCCCGACCCATGGAGCCTTCGGCACAGTAGATATAGCCGAATGCGTCTTCCTCGACAGAATCTCCTCTCCACATGCGCTGGATCATCGTATCAAGTACAACATCGTATCCAACCACCGCATTTAATGCGGCCACATGCAAATGCCGGTGCCACCCCGATTGAGGTTACTCCTCGACCATCAGATTATTGACACGTGTCCCTATCTAACATTTATTGCTGCTATAAATAGCAGCTCATTTCCCCATTGTAAATGATCACAAATTCACATATTGAATACATATTCTCTCTCTACTGCTCTGACTTCTCTCTAAGTTATTCCCGCAATAACCTCCCAGATAAGCTACCCTCGGGTACACTATCCATCACTGCCCATCAAACGTAGTCCACAAGTCCAAATTTTCAAACAAAATTAAACCTACTCAAACTAGAATAAAAACAAATACTACTAATGGAAAAATAAAATTGAAATAAAGTCTTTCCACAAAACCCTTTATGGCACAGAGGTGGTTCTAGAGGAGGACGAACTCTACCAACGTCTACGCACTTTAAAAGAAGGCAGATTGAAATCTCTAACATGTAGACAAACCTGGCCGACACACCAAAAGAACTCCCACATCGAGGGAGACAAACCACCTCGAAGCACCAGTGCCTGGAAAAGAAACACCATAGAATAAAATCAACACAATCGGAAGAAAAGAACAATTCAAATGAATCATACCTCTATCAAGAATCTCTGAGCCTTTAAAACGGAGCAGATAAACACAATAATCAATCAACTCTAAAGATAAAGGAAGAAATTTGATCGATCGTGGAGTCCCGGCAGATGGTAATAGAGAGTTTAGGCATGGAGGCCTTTTCTCTTACTCGAAACCCTACGTGCTCTCCGTTTGTACGCAGTCCCTATCACAATAAATTTAGAAAATTAGAAATCTCAACAACTTTTACTTTTTGAGAATCATTTTTTTCTATTAAACACTTTTTAAAAAATAACTTTAAGAAATCACTTTTTTAAGGTTGGTTGTTTGCTTTTGTCAAAATCATCTACCATGTGTTTAAGTGTTTTATGTTGTGAATCACAAAATGTTTTGTTGACATATTTCACTTGAATTTTATTAATTCAGTTCGATTTTTTTGACTTCAGTCATTCGATTTATTACAATTTGATATGATTCAGTTTGATTAAACCAAACTCATGCCCACCTTTACTCCGTGAGCCGTAGCTGATTAACTCCAATACATCATGTTTAACCAGTAGTTAGTGCGGTAGCGTTGGATTCCAGACTTCCAGTAAGCTCTGAAGCGGTGCGGTGCGGTCCGAACCGGCCCGGATCCGGACTTTATGTTTGAATAGTTATCCCATTCATAAAAGTTCACAAGGACAAACCCGTACAACGGGATCGATCAATCTTGATAGCCTGGGAATGGAAGAGCACGGGGAGCATCAGGTTCAGCACGAAAAATCGTTGCTGGGGAATATAGCTGAGAAGATTCACCAGAGTAGCAGTTCTTCTTCCTCCGATTCTGAATCCGAGGAAAAGCCCGTGAAGTCTGAGGCGTCACATTCATCCAACAAAGCTAAGATTTGGCGGTTTTTCGGCCGGGAACAACCGGTTCATAAGGTTTTCGGTGGAGGCAGACGTATGTTGTTGTTTATGTATTTCTACGCGCACTCTTTATATACATAGATATGCATGCTGATTTCCATATCAGGATTTGTTTTTATTACCCTTTTCTTCAAAATAGTGAATTTCTGTCCATTTGCTGGTAGTTGAAAACTTGAAATATAACATTATTAACATATATATACTCTACACATTGATTTCCATATCAGGGTTGGTTTTTATCACCTTTTTTCTTCTAAATATTGAATTTTTGTTCATTTGCTGGTTGTTGAAAGATGAGATTAGAGGTTCTGTCTCATTTCTGCTATGATTGATTGTTTGAATATTATATCTACACCATCATATGATCAACTGCATAACTATGTAACTAAATCTGTATGTATTTAAAATAGACTAGTTGCTCGCAATTTTGATTATTAACTTACTGGACGGCTCTATTGTCTGTGATTGCTTTCTTAATCTCAGATTGTTGCATTGCTGGCTTGCTGCTTTAGGGAATATAGTTTAATCCATAGTTCGTTATGTGCCCTACCTGCCTTTAACTTTTGGGAAGCTTTATATTCTTGAAATTGTGAAAATTCTAAATAGGAGTGATACACGAGCAGAGTGTATAAATCAGAGTTTTCATGTTTATCCTAAAATAAGGTTCATTCAGCTCTAATTAAAGAGTAAAAGTACTTGAAACATCTTCTTCTAGGAGTGAATGAGTCACATTTTTTGAAAATGTGTGATAAACTGATAATTTAGTCCTATTATGAATTTTCTCTTTAATCTTTTGTTGGTGAAGACCATCTATTATTTAAGAGAGAAATTTGGAAGTTTTTGTTGCCATCTGGTGGAAGATTGACTTTTTGGAGAAGGAATACAGATATTATGTAATAGGTGAATATTATTGAAATTAGTATCTGCTTTCATTGATTGCCTAATTGGTGCAGCTGCTGATGTGTTTTTGTGGAGGAACAAGAAGATATCTGCTGGACTCCTTGGTGGAGTTACCGCTATTTGGGTTCTATTTGAACTGCTAGAGTACCACCTACTAACACTAGTCTGCCATGTCTTGATCATTGCTCTTGTAGTCTCGTTCTTGTGGTCCAACACATCATCCTTCATCAACAAGTGTGTGGTTTCCAAGTCTTTAGTCTTTACCTAATAATTATATAGATAAGTTGGGTCTGTCCTCCTCCATACTGAACATGTAGATAATTGTTTTGTCAGGTCTCCTCCCCGAATCCCTGAAGTCCACATTCCAGAGGATCCATTCATTCAGGTTGCTTCTGCCTTGAGAATTCAAATAAACAGTGGTTTGCATTTACTACGAGAAATTGCATCCGGAAGAGACCTGAAGATATTTCTTGCTGTAAGCGTCTGATTTTACAATCTTGGCACCTAACTACCTAAGGCTATGATTCAGAGTTCAGTATGGGGGAAGCCGGGAAGGGAATGCTTACTTTTCGTTTCTTTTCAAAACATCACTTTGATTTTGTTTTTAAAAAAGGATATAATCAAAGTGATAAATTAGTATAAACTTGATGTCCTAGTCATTCATTTATGAAATATTAATAAATACCATGTATATGACTAAATAAAGTAATGGACAAAAGTGTGACCCTTAGGACCTCTTCATTTGGCTAGAATTTCTAGTCATAAGTCAGGTCTGATCTGGTTGGCTTATGTTTGATACTATCGTATATATTATTTGTTTAAGGGATGGAGGGAGTACTAAATATTTATGTAATGTTGATATGATTTGTTTAAGTCTAGCCCGGTGTGGTCTAATCATGTCTGGTCCGGGATTGAAACAATTCCAAGTGAAGAGGTCCTTATTATACAGTGACCCTAGATCTATTTTGGCATGAACCGCAATCAGTGGCAGATCCATAGGGGGCAGCTCCCCCCTCGCAACGCCCACCCAACCCCTATATATATTTAATTTAATATACAATTTTATACATATATTTGTGTATTGGATAGACATATCTTATAATGAAAACAATCCGGCCGAGTGGAAAGGGAGTCAAGGAGTCAAGGGTTCGGAACTTGCCTCCAACTTTTCTTCACTGCTTTAATTTTTATCCATTTTCTTCCACGTTTTCGCTTTTTCAAGTTTTAATAAAATTTAAATTGACTTTACATACTTTTATTCAATTTTTGTTTAGTTTAAAAGACTTAAACTACTTCATTTTATTTTGGCACTTCATATAAATTGATTTTTAGAATTTAGATATAATCCTGCATTCACAATGTACATTATTGCTAAATACATACACTATATGTCCCTTATTTGATTCATTTAATTATTTACACAATATCACAAAAAGTTAAAACTTTGTGATGTATTTATTTTCTGACAAAGTGAAATTTGTTAAGTACGATAACCAAATATTTTGTTATTTATAACTAATTTTATACTAATACTTTTCTTAATGTATTCAATTGTTTGTGACATGTATGAGATAATATGTAGTGTAAATTCGCTCCCTCATGACAATTCCTGAATACCTGGATAGGCCACTGACCTTGGTGACCACAGTAAAATTTCAATTTACAATGTTGTAACCATGATACTATTTTCATGCTGACGTAGACTTTAGTGACTTTTTAGTCATATATATATATACAAGTATATATTTATATTGTCTACTATGAGTTCTACTGTAGGGGAAGAAAACCGTTGATAACAATTTAATAGTGGTAATGATGATCAATTATTGATAACACAATATGTTTTTTTGGCTTCCATTTTCTCTAGGTCATCGCTGGTCTATGGATCCTCTCAGTTATTGGCAGTTGGTGCAACTTTTTATCATTGGTCTATATGTGTAAGTACACCCAGCAAATGTGTAATCTGTGTCCAAACCATGCCGTTTCACATGGGAGCGTTATACTTGATTTTAGAAAATTACCCGTGCACAGTTTTATTAGAAAAGGTAGGGGTAGTAATGAATTTTCTTTACACTGAAACAGCCTTTGTATTACTCCACACTGTTCCTGTGATATATGAGAAGTATGAGGACAAGATCGATCCGCTAGGGGAGAAAGGGATGGTGTGGGTGAAGACGCAATATGCAGTGTTTGATGAGAAAGTACTGAGCAAAATTCCCAGAGGGCCATTGAAGGACAAGAAGAGGGCATGAGAAGAGTGCTGCAGATGAACTATGTTCAGTCTATATGCATATATAATCGTGTTTGAGATTGTATGATGATTTGTTTTGGGGGTTCTTCACATATGATGAATTTAGACAGATTTGACGTAGTTAGTGTTTTGTGTGTGTTTCTTTGTAGTAGTATACAAAATCTCTGTTGTACTATGAAACTTGATGAATCGCGCTCTCCATAATTGTCATGTGTGGCAGTGTGGGGTGTTGACGATGATCTTTTGTGACCTAAACTAGTTTTATAGGCTTTCTTTACCTGTTTTAAAGTCTAGACTAGATATAGACTTCACGATTTGCATAAGAAACTAACACGGATTTTTTTACTTGCTCTCAAACCAGACTTGGACAGTCATACAAAGGCTAGACAATTACTCCGTAATTCCGTATTAGTTCAGGTCAGGTCCGATCAACCCAGATCAGGCTAAAAAATTCATTCTAAATAATTGTTGTTTTTATTTCAGGTGTTTAATTATGTAATAATCAAAATAAGTAAGATTGAAGTTACTTTTTTGATTGAATTGATTGAAGTTATAGAAGAGAGTCGTTTTAGCTACTTTTTCATTTTTTCTAATCAATCGTTTCAATCAAAATTTCATCAATTAATTTTAGCTAATATGAGTGTTCCTAAACGAGCTATTAAATTTGGATGTAAATCATGTAATTATTGTTGTGTCTAGAGTGAAACTTAAATAGATGAGGTAATCAATCAATTAGCACTAAGCTACAACGGAGAATTTCTGTTGAAGTAAAACCATCAGTTATTTGATATCATTACTTGCAAGACGTGGTACCATCGGTATTTAGGTCTAATCCTTTTATTATTCGTATAAATTCAAGAATTAAACTTTTTCTAACTTTAAGATTACATATGTGAGAAATTATCAATATTATAGAAGTGTTAAACCTGAGTTTGGTAACACGTGCTCAACTGCTGAAGAACTGAAGGCCAACATGTTCAAAGTTCTAACTCAAAACAAGGTCAAGTTTATAGAAACATGGACGAACAATTCTTGGCGTATACACTTTACTGTTGTACACACCTTTATACACGTTTATGTTTGTGAAGGTTTTTTTTTACTGTCACAAATAAAATACATTTTGTTTGTGACCGACAATTCACAGACGTGTGTAAAAATGTGTACAACATTAAAATGTGTACAAAAGGCCCTTTTCAACATCAATAGGGCAGCTGAAAAGGAGAGGGCCCATAAACGGATCATGAACATGGGGCTAATGCCTAAGTACCAATGGGGCCGGACAGTACAAGGAAGTGGTCTAGCCCAAATAAAACAGAGCCTAGCAGCTGGGAGTGAAGTTGGAATATGTGGAAATATACTAAGAAGTCCACTTTTCATATATTGATTGTGTTATAATCCGTAGATGATTGCTGATGCTTGACAATTTTCCTAATGTTGATGCCTTTTAGCATATCCTAATTAGGCGATTTCATATATGAAAACATTTATTGTTTTTCTCTAAATGTATTGTGTCAAATGTGGAACTATTGAAACATTACTTGTGCTTTTGATAGAATGAATATCACTGATTGGTGTATGTTTCAAAACAACTTGGTGGTTCATATAAAAAAGAGCTGCTAGTGAAAAAAGAACTCATGTCAATGAACCTCTTCTTGTGCAGGCAAAAATAGAGACTCATGTTAGTGTTGTTTCCTATCTACCCTTTTAGTAGTCAATTACATTCAGAAGTAAGCAGGTCCTTTGAAATTCTCTATCAGGGTACTAGCATATATGCCTTTGCATGATATTCTTAAGAAGGGTTGTATTCTTTCACACGGAGAGCGACGTACAACAGGAGATACCCATTCTTACCAACAAAGGAAATGAGCAGCCATGAGGCTCAGTTGCCTCAATAATGGATCTATCTATTGATGAAATCATTGGAATCTTTTGAAGCAGTCATATAATAATGGAATCTTTAGCTAAGGTATCCTGACTGGGGTAGTGGGTTTAGGAATTTATAAAATTAAAAAGTGGAGAAACAGAAGGAAACGAAACAACTAATCTGTACTTGTGATTGAAAATAAGATGTGGCCTTGCCTGAAAAAAAAGATATTCTTAAGAAAACATGTTATAATTTGTGTACTCTATAGTGATAATACAACTAAAAAATATTCATTTCTAGACTCACATCCTTGTTCTTCTTTTGATTAGTGTGGGATGGTATTTGAATCTTTTTAATTTTTTACATCTTTGTTGTAGCCAATAAACCACTAGGATTAGTTAATACTAGTATTTTTTTAAAACAAGGGTGAGCTTTGATAAACATGATTATCATGTGTTTATAGACTATAGTAAGTACTTGTTGGGCACCACTATATATTCAGTGGGATTAAAGATACGCTTAGTTATTAATGTATTTTCATAGTTTGGTGAGCCAAGTTATTAGTTAATTATCTCTTTATGCTGCAAGTGTATTGCTCAAAATTCATATTTCATATTTGAAATGATTGGTGATGTCATTGACACTTTTTTTGCCTTTTTTATTGTTCCTTTGTCAAATTGATTTTACAATTTTGTTTGGTTTCTCATATTTGAAAGCACACTAAGAAGATAAAGTTCATTTGTGAACTTAGCTTGCACTTGTGAGCCCCCACTGGATCTTAGCTTGCATACTGATATTTATGAATAGCAGCATTAGGATAAGGATAAGATCATAACTAGAATTATTATTTCTATTTATATGTTCAGGTTTTTTCATCTTAGAAAATTTTAGTTTTGATAGGATAAGAGTTGACGTATAACGTAAAAAGTATTTGTGAATAGCAGCATTAGGATAAGATCATAACTAGAATTATTATTTCTATTTATATGTTCAGGTTTTTTCATCTTAGAAAATTTTAGTTGTCATAGGATAAGAGTTAACGTATATGTTTAAGCTCTAACGGCTCAACCGCGCGCTGAAAGGCTATTGTTGAAAAGAATATTTTGTTGGGTTTACTTTTGAAAAAGTCCTTCACAAGTGATAAACTTGATATATTTTTTGGTTTTCGGTCCACTTGCCAAAACTTCCCTTGGAATATTGTCAGAGGCTGACCTAGCCCACATAGCAGCCCAACCCCAAACACTTGGTTGAGCTCACACACGAGAATCTTTTATTTGTGTTGATAATTTGTGAACTATTCAGTCTCAATAAATTTATCCATACAGATATAATTTGTTTATAATCTAGAACCCGTTTGGTAACGTTAAAATTGATCAAATCTAGTGGGTTATTGAAAAAATATATTTAAAATATACAATTTATTTTATTAATAAAATAAAAAGAAAAAACATCACAAATAGCTAAAACGATCATTTACACAGCTTCAATCAATTCAGGCATAAAAAAAACTCTAACTGTACTTATTTTGACTATGACACAATACAAAGCACAAAACAAAAATGAAATACTCCCTCCGTCTCATAAAACTCTTCTCACTTTCCTTTTAAGTCGTCCCAAAAAATTATTCTCACTTACCATTTTTGGACAATTTGTGTGGTTCACATTCATTTTCACTTTTTTCTTACACAACCACAATCATACATTTTCACTTTCAATCTCCGTGCCAAGTCAAAGTGGGAAGAATTTTATGGGACTATAGTTCCCTAGATTAGAACTTAGAAAAACATGGCTTTACGTTGCAAATTTAGTTTTCATGCTTGTGATTAACGATGGATTATGATATTTCAACCCCCACCCACGTTGTATTTGTTGTCTGCTTGTGATCTAATAAATTGAATGATGTATTTGTCGGTGAAACTATTGTTGCCTTTTTCATTCGAAGAAATAACTGTTGCCTTTTTGTAGCATTTTTTTGTCTATTTTATCGTAAGTCTTGGTAACATATGGGACAATACTATTTGAGGAAAATAGTAAATAAATAAATAATGATAATAATAATAAATTAATTAGTATAAAATTAAAAAATTGGATCAGATTCAGGGCTAGTCATGATATTTTATGAGCCCATAGCTATATAAAATAAATGATTGTGTTAAGACACGAGGTTCCATTATAGGAAGTTAACCTGATAGGAGGAGTAGCCCAAAATCTTATACTCCGTATAATGTTTTATAACTTTTCGGTATGAGACAAATACTTTAACATGCACCCTTTGCTCGAACCGGGCTGGACAATATCGGTTGTATAAATAGGCCAAACAGACCCTTAACAAGCTACCCTTAATCATGGGTCTAAACAAGCAATCAAACCACAACAAGATCTGGCTCTGACACTATGTTAAGGCCCGATGTTCTATACTTCTATTAAAGGTCAATATGATAGAATGAGTAACCTAAAGTCTTGTATAATATTTTACTGTTTTATAGGTTGGTGATGTGAGATAAATATTTATGGGAACATAAGATATTATCGTACAAATGCATTAGAAAAAGTATAAAACGGAACTTCCTCAAATGAATTGAATTGTTAACTAGACAACGTTACGTTGTTCCATAAAAAACTATTCAAATTGTACTCATAAATGCATCAAATATGACTTATATGAGACACTCAGGCATCATCCGATCCCGCATAATACAAAATTAAAATTTTATATACGAGAAATGTATAAAATTATATTTGAAAAGTTGATAATTGTAAACGGGATTTAATTTCTTTTTTGAAATTATCTTAATATCTTCTCGGGGTCAATCTCAGTAGTATATATTAAAGGAAATGACACAATATATAGTACAAAAGTCGAACTTGAAGTCTTATAAGATTAAAGAGCTGAATTTAATTATGGATGTAAAGTCAAGGAAGGAAGATTGAAAAACATTGGAAACCATGTTTGTTTAAGTTTTTTATATTCACGTATATATGTTCATTCACGCACTTGCATTAATTTGAAAACCCAATATTCCAATGGAATTACAAGAGTCCAGGAGTCGATTTCATGGAAAGATATAGTAAGTGTAAAAATTTAAGTTTCAAAGACATATAACGACTTCAAGTTATTAAGATAATAAATTTTTCGTTTAGACGCATCTAAATTTTTAGTCTCACATGATATATACTACGGAGTACATGTTAGGGATGAACCCACTTCTGGTCCGGTCTCGGGTAATATTAGGAGAAAATTAACCCACATATGACTAAAATTTAATGTGTTTCCCAAAATATGACTTCTATCTTTTTTCTTAGTGAAGACCAGAATGCTCGTTGTACCCATATGGATTACAATGTATGATTGGATATTTGGATTACAACGTACCCAGCTGAATTGATGGATTTGCCTACTGAATTGATAAAAACTTGAATTCACACTCTCAACTCGAAAAAAATTCTAATTTCACTTTTTGCAGGTAATAGCCTGGTCACCGTCATGTCACTCGGTC